CCCAAGGAAGAGAGATCCTAGGGCAATTCACCTTTTCTGTTACACAGAGATATGTAAGATTTTTATGGTCGACAGAAGTTTTAGAGTAAAAGTTGTCTCGAATATAGATAGCGAAATCGCTAGACATTTCCTAAATAGTCAATTTTTTAATTTTTCTAATAATATGTTGATAAAAAAAGTTTTGGCTGACCTTACAGGAATTTGAGAAGTTTTAAACAAGAAAGAGGAAGTTAGAAATGCTCAGAGATAAAGCTATACATGAAAAGTTCTTATTGCTCAGAATGGTATAACAGGTCTGAATGCGCACACACTGGGTCGGGTAAGACTTTCACTTATCTTAAAAGTGGCTGCACAACAACAAGAACCTAGATGTAGAAGAACAGGCATTCTATGAGTTGGTTGTCATTTGTAGTAACATTCGGGTCAATATTTGACGCCCAAACGTCATAATCGTTTCAAAAATTATAAGAAGTCTAAGTTAGTTTTGTATAAGGATTACTGAATTGTTAGGATGGATAAAGAAGTACAAAGAAGAGTTTTGAAGTATAATGCTAATAAATGAGTATATATTTACAGCTTCAAAGAGCCCTATGAGGAAATGCAGAGAATACTGAGAAGATAACACTTCAAAACAAACAACAGAAAAGAAGATAGAAGTCATATTCAAGAGAATTGCATCTTATGATATGGAAGACAGTACCCTCATGAGATGGTCTCTCTTTTAGATGACTTTGCTGGTCTCATCCTTTGGTTAAAGAACAGAGAACAAGACATGTGTGCGAATTCTTAAGCAAGCTCAGACCTTACATTTCAGTTGCAATTTTGTGTGACAGACAGCAAAAGAGTTTTAAGTAAGGATGTTAAAGAATACTTAACTTGACATTATAACTTTTCCCCGGATTGTCGCGAAGACGATTTCATGGATACCTCTATGAAAGAGTGCATGGAGGTAAGGTTTGAAGACATGAACTATGGGAGAACGTACAAAGTCATACCAAGACCTCATACTTCTTTCAGATTCATATCTAGTAAGAAGACAAAGTTTAAATTGAAAAAGTCATGCGTAAAAAAATGTAAAGTGTTGAGTCGTCTGAAGTCTGTTGTGGTATATCTGCAGCTTTCGGTTCTTCTGCTTTGGAAGGCATTCAGGAATGAGGAACGTAGTCATCCGTTTGTGATTGTTGGAAGGAAGAACTACTTTTCTGTCGGAAGAAGGATTCGGAATGCAGAAGTGAAAGATCTTTTTCCTGTCGGAAGGAAGAAAATTTTTTTCTGTCGGAAGGAAAAACTTTTTCTGAAAGTTCGACCAAAAATGTTCTTGCAATTTTGCGAAAATTTGAATGTTTACGGAGGGATAACAACAGGAAACTATTTTTCCAGTTGTGGGAAATTTCAGGGCGAAAATTTTTTCCAATGTTGTCGGGAAATTTTTTTCCAGTTGCGGGAAGCAGTGGAATGGCAGAATCGGAGGATGGAATGGCTCGAAGTGAGGAAGGACTCGAATGCCAGAAGGATTTGACAAGACAATTTACTTATATTGAGCTACCTGAGGCCATCTTTGGTGTCAAGCTTGAAAAATAAAGAGTTCATTTACTCTACTTTGTTTGAAGTTGTTAATACTCTGTATTTTTTCTTTAACAATGGCAAATCTTCTTTGAGGTAAAAATTGTACAACCTTTCATATCATTAGTTGTGTTTGAGGTAAATAATCTGAACTATTTGTTTCACACATCTTCATTCGGTGTCATATTGAAATCGTAAGTTTTCGCGATAGATACCAATTTCTGTCAGATTTGTAAAATCTTAGCAAGGTCGTAAAAAAGCTTTTGTTGTTTCTTCTGCTAAATGCAACATAACAATCTTTATCTTCTTCATTTTCCATCTCTTCAGTATAAATCATATACTTATAGTTTCTTTTCCTTTCTTTTGGTACCTGAACGTTGGTATTCTTTCTGAATGTTTTTGTCTTTTGCTTTCAATGACTTCAATCTTTTGCTTGAAGTTTTCTTTTCCATCTTTCACGTTCTTGTCTATGAAATTTTCGTAGAAGTTTTTACAAACATACCATGAATAGCGAGCTGAAGCCCACATTGCAACAGATTTTACAAGAGTCTATGTACATACCAACCTCTCAAACCATTTGGCAAATTTTTACGATTTTCATAGAAGTTTTGGCGACCTGTAAAGTCGTCCGCTGTGGCTTCGCTCAAAAGTTCTTAGTGTGCTTTGGTTTTTGAACCAATCGTCTGTATGTTTGGTATCTGGTGAAAACATGCTGTCAAAAATACTTTGCATTTGGTACATTGTCAATCTTGACCGAACGAATTGAGACGTAACTGTTTGTTAAACTGAACCATCGTATTCTTCACTTATGGTTCATGAACGATAGCAGGTTGTTGTGTTCTCTGATGTTGACATTACTGTTCTTAACATACAAAATAAAAAATAAAATAAAATAAATTAGCGTTATTTCTATCTTGTATAAAAGACAAAAGAAACGCTTTACATGTATTTTTCAGCAACTTCGTCAAATAATTTTAAGCACTATCTAATCTGCATCTACTTCAAAACGTTCTTTGCTTTCGTGGAGCACGCATACTTTTCTCAAAAACTTCAAGCAGTTCTGTTTTCAGCAGTTCTCATATCGTTAACAAAACCAACCATTAACTCTATTGACTGTAGAGTCATATCTACTACTTATATTAAATGTTTCTCCTATCTTATATCTTTTGTATTGAAATCCTTCGGTTTCTGAAAGATATAAAGTAAGCCTTCACTGCAATACGTCAGTATCGAATGAACCATATGTTATGAAATTATATACAACAACTGGGTCAATCCAGAACAAAAACTATTGGTATAAAGACTTTTGTCTATGAGATATGCTGTAGTTCCATAGAATCTTACGATATCAAAAGCTCAGGATTCTTGTCAAAATTTTCTGACTAGAGAGCATTTCTAACCCAGTCCTTTTGCTCTCTTTCCAGATGGAGATATAATGTCTGACAAAGAATATTTGTTGTATTTCTTGTGAGTATCTTACGTTTAAATCACCAATTCTAACCACTTTGGTGTTATTGTCTATCTTTTTAACTGTTTCAAACTCAGTGTTTGTCATTTCTGTTTCTTAATACAAAATAAAAAAAAATTATTTTAAAAAAAACTTTAATTTTATTTTGTATAAAAGATATGATTTCAGGGATTTTTTTTACGATTTTCATAGAGTTTTAGGCGAGTAAGATTTTTAACGTACTCGCATTTTTCACGATTTCATGAGTTTTTTTTTACGGATTTGAATGGAATCTCTTCCTCGGTTTTCCGAGGGAAGCAAACATAGAGGAAATTCATGAAATTTGGTCATTTTTTTTCAAGCAAAATATATTTTAGGTGGAACCGGTCACCAGGTCACCAGGTCAAATGAACTTCTCTGAAAATGGTGACAACATGACATTTTGACAACAACACAGGAAATAGATTTCTTCGTAAATGTTTTGTTGAGACTTCATCGTCAATGAGCGTAAATCAGACAAAAATATATTTTAGGTGGAAAAAAACAGGTGGAGCCACTTTTGGCTCGACCTCAAAACAAGCATTTTGTGAAGAATATACCAACCGCCGGAATTCCGCGGGTTGCTTTTTTTATACAAAATTCAAGAGTTTTGCGTGTTTTCTACGATGGAGCCACTTTTGGCTCGACCTCAAAACAAGCATTTTGTGAAGAATATACCAACCGCCGGAATTCCGACGGTTGCTTTTTTTATACAAAATTCAAGAGTTTTGCGTGTTTTCTACGATGTTGTCAAAATGTTTTGTCAAGATTTCTTCGTCAATGAGCGTAAATCAGACAAAAATATATTTTATGTTAGAATGTTAGATCTAACATGTTTTCTAACATGTTTTCTAACATGGTCTAAAACACACAAAACTCATGAAATTTCATACGGAATTCAGCAAAAATAATGTTTATGTTAGAATGTTAGATCTAACATGTTTTCTAACATGTTTTCTAACATAACTATTTACAAGCGTTTTTACATGGTATATGTTGCGATGGTTCATGACTCTAACA